TTTCCATATGGGTTGCAATGACGGGATTATGGCAACCAAAAAACTCTATACCAGCCAGAAAGTTTCCATTTTCTTTCCCATTCGCGTGTGTTCTTTTAACTACAAACATAGTTGTATATAGTAATTATAATTAAGTTATACAATACTTAAATAAATAATTAAAATTCATATTGAGAGAACTTTTTAATGAGTTACCTAGAAAAGCTAAATTTCTAGAAACCAAGAAAAGAGTTGCATCCAAAATTCTACAATGAACTTGCCTCAGAAACAAAGGATTCGTGGTTCAAATCCTACTTCTGGGTACATTTTACGAACTTCCAATTAAATTCTCATCCACGGTGCTCTGTGATGAGACCGTAAGGGCACCATAATAAAATAGAAAATAAAAAATATTATTAAGTCAGGTTGAACATCACGTTTTCCGCTGTTAGATAAAGTTTCTTCTTATGATTTTAATAAGTCACTTTAGAATTCATTTAGATAAGTTTCAGAAGTATTGTTTGAGTCCCCCTACTCATCTAAAGTCCCTCAAATCACACACATCGAAAGCAACAAATCACACATACTGAACACAGCAAAGACGCAAAAACTCAAATACTTGATAACTGGCCGAAACCTGGTAGAGGCAAGGAGGCTTATTTGTCTAAAAAATGCGATTCTTTTGCTTCAACAGTCAAATACTACTTGAAAAAGTAACGCTTCTAAGTGAAATCGACAACAAATGTCTCGTTCGCTTTAATTCTTCAACAACCGCGTTGCTTACTTATGGAACGCACTACCTAACAAAGTTGTCCGTGCTATCATTATCAACTGCTTCAATGACCAAACATCAACTGATCAGTTACCATTATAATTACCACAGAGCATCATCTTTCGCACAAGCAGAGGAAAAAAAAGTAAAAAAAAATTGTACTCAAGTAAAAGTACTGTTACTTGAATAAAATTTTTTAAGTAAAAGTTACCGGTCGAAAAGTTTACTCAAGTGAAAGACAAAAGTAGCTTATTAAAAACGTTCTAAGAGTAAAAGTTACTGCGTTACTTTTTTAGTAACAAAGCTGTCGAATAAAAAAACAAAAATCACGCAATTCTTTTCTGCATAAAATTTTTTTTTGCACAGAAAATTCTTTTTTTATGGTCTTAAAATGTGAAAAGAAACCAAGCTAATCCAGCCAGCATTATGATGCGGGTGCCTGTGGGACCCGTACGGGTTGTCAAATGAAAACCGTACGGGATTCGGCCGCCGGATCCATATGGGTACCATACGGACCAAATTAAAAAAAAAAAAAAATTTATTAGCTCCTGTTTCTTTTTTCCCCTAATGACCCCAGAATTTTACCGGATATATTTTTTGATTTTTTACTATGTATAACTTAGATTTTTTATACCTTAAATTAAGGACAATTTATTTAAAGCAATTTCTTTCATTAAAAAAAAATTAAATGATTTAATTATAATAATTTTTATAAAAGTTTAAAAAGCTAAATGCTTTATATGCAAATTGAAAATTCAAGGAATTATACGTGTATGCTTTATGAAATAAAATAAATTGTTCTGACATATGTAATCAATATATACCTACTAAATCAAGAAGATATACTTACTAAATCAAATCATAATATTTTATAGTAAGATGTTGAGACTACCTAATCCTATACTTTTAAATAAAATATATTGCAAAAAAAATTTACTATAGTAACATTTCTTTTGCAATTTATTTCAACTAACGCATGTTTAGGCGCTGCATAAAAAAACTATAAAGTTTATCAGAAAAACTTCTTGAAGAAGCACTTTCTGCTTGGTTTAGTAATAGTCAAGGTAAAAACAAAGACGGCTGAAAAGAACGAATTTCAAATGCAGCATCAAACACAGAAAAGGACATATAGAATATACTTAATACAGCAGCAAACATGTAACGTAAAGAATACAGCAGCAAACACTTGTATATATATTGATTACTATATGTAATAACAGTTTATTTTATTTAATAAAACATACATGTAAATGTTCTTGCGTTTTCAATTTTCATATAAAACATTTAGTTATTAAAACTATTTAAAAAAATTGCTTTAAACAAATTTTTGTTTATTTAAGGTATAAAAAATATGTTATACATAGTAAAAAATAAAAAAATATATCCTTTAAAATTCTTGGGTCAATAAGGGAAAAAAGAAAAAGCATCCATTAAATTTTTCGTCTTTTTTTAATTTGGCCCGTATAGCACCCATATGGATCCCGCGGCTAAATCCCGTACGGTTCCCATTTAACATCCCGTACGGATCCCACACGGCACCCGCTTCACAATGCTGGCTTGGAAAGCAGTTAAAAAGCGCTCAACATTTTTTCCTAAACAATTTAAAAGTGTCATTTTTATTAAAGTGAGTAAAACTCAAAAAAACAAAAAAAGTTAAATCATAGTATTTGCGCATTTAAACAATACATAATAAATTTTTTTACTCAGTAACGCAAATGATTTCAAATGTAACGAAAAACAATACTTTAGAAAAAAATAGTTAAGTAAAAGTAAAAAGTACACATTTTAAAAAATACTTAAAAAGTAAAAATTCACAAATTAACTACAAAATTACAGTAATGTGAGTAAATGTAATTCGTTACTTTCCACCTTTGAGCACGAGCTAACATGGTTCATAGACTTAGGGAATATTTCCAGTTTTGTCTAATTCAAAAACAATTAAATCCTTTCTTTTTTTTCGTAAAAAAAAGTTTTTATCATGATAGTAGAATTTAAAATTTAAATTATTTTTTTCATTTTTATTCCGAATACTGAAGTTTCAATGTCAAATATAAAAACTAAGCAAATTTCACATTGTCAATTATTAAAATGCTTTCTATTTATAGTAAAAAAAAAAGAAAAAAAAAAAAAAAGTCATCGATCGTCCGTCCGTCCTCTTTAAGCTTGGCGCCCGGGTCAATATGCCCTCTTTGTCCTTCTCTCTCGAAGGCCTTGAGTTACTCTGTGCATGAATCTTTTTAGTACTGGTTTTAGAGTCTGTTTAAACTTACGAAGCACTTTAAAATCCAAAACTATAATTGAATAACATGGATGCCAGCATCCAATCACTGAAGGAGTTTTTCGTGTTAAAGCGAGTTTTTCATGAAAAAGGGCAAAAGCGAGCAAAGAAAGCTGGCACACAAAAATATTTGATAGCTCGTCCAAGAACTCAAAATGTGCGAATTTGAAGCAGCGTTTAAATCATTAAAACGGAATGAGGCATTAGGGGATTGGGGATGATTGCAATGATTGCATTAGGGGAATTAGGCATTAGATTGCATCAATAAAAATATTATAATAGACTCCTTTGACGTTTTGAAAAATATACTATTTAAAACTTGTAAAGCCTCTATTGCTCAAGGATCTTTTCCAGGCTTTCTAAAAGTGGAAAAAATTACCCCTATTTATAAATCAGGTGACCATTGTAACATTACAAATTATCGTCCTATTTCAGTTCTTCCAGTTTTCTCCAACTAACACGTAGCATTTCTGATTCTTTTAAAAATTCTTATTATACCCTAGGAGTATTCATTGATTTCTCGATGAATACTCCTCGGGTCGAAATTTAGTTTGGCAGAAAAGTTCTTGTAGATTTTTCCATTGTGAAGATTATATTGGTTTATGGGTTTTACATTATAAAGATTTATAAATACATCAGGAGATAAATGATTTTTACATTAAAACATGAAACATAAAATATTATAAACATTTAGGTATACATTTAAGGCTTTCATTTCTCTCGGATGCGGTTTCGAATTTGAAAAACGATTTACAAAATTAATTAAGCGAGCTGCGTGTGTCTGACGCTAATAAAGAGGTTTAAGTTAAGTTTTGTATCTCTATTTGTATCTCTTCATTGATAATACAATACTAAAATGGTAAAAAGTTAAAAAACCTCTTGGAGTTCTTGTTGACCAAAACTTATCATGGAATTATTGGAATTATATATAAAGTTCGACATATTTTAAATAAACAACAATTAAAACAACTATATTATTTGTTTATCCATTGCCATTTAAGTTATGCAAATATTGTATGGGGAAGCGCGCACAAAACTTAACTTAAATCTCTTTATCAGCGTCAGAAACACGCAGCTCGCTTAATTAATTTTGTAAATCGTTTTTCAAATTCAAAACTGCATCTGAGAGAAATGAAAGCCTTAAATGTATACCTAAATGTTTATAATATTTTATGTTTCATGTTAAAATGTAAAAATCATTTATCTCCTGATGTATTTATAAATCTTTATAATGTAAAACCCATAAACCAATATAATCTTCACAATGGAAAAATCTACAAGAACTTTTCTGCCAAACTAAATTTGAACAAGTAATTATTTCTTATCGCGGTCCTTATTTATGGAATAAAATAGTTTTGCCAAATTTTGATTTGTTTTTGAAATGGACTTTAACTTCTTTCAAACGAAAATTAAAAGAAGTTATCTTTTTAGAAGAAAATATTTTTTATTGTTTTTAATTCTTTTGTTTCATATATTTCACATAATTTATCCAACATATTTATTTTTTAAATGTACAGTTGTATATAGTTATTGTTGATTTATTTTTATTGGTTAATTTGATTTTTATTGTTATTATTATTATATTTGATATTGGAAAGATCTTCATGATAAGATCGTATGATCTACTGTAAGTCCTGCCGATTATATTTGTAATAAAGCTATTCTGTAATTGTAATTTCTTTTGTTGAAGGCAAATAAATTTACGAAAAAAAAAAAAGAAAAAAAAAAAGTGCGAAAAAAAGTGCGACTCTTAAACTCCATTGTCACTTTCATTCCACTCCATTGTCGCTTTCCCGGAAACTTTATTTTACAAAGCGCACAAATTTTACATCACCGTTTACTTTACTAACTGGTAATTTTTTCGGATTCATCGTAACAATCAAAGTCCAAGTTTCAAAAGGAAATCAGAGTGCAATAACATTACTAATATTCCAAGTTGAAAATTCGTGGTTAAATTATGCGACTTACCAG